CAGCATTTCACTACCTTTTTTAATATTTTTTAAAAATGTCTGTTTTTATTAAGGGAGGAGATAAATACATGATTGAACAAATTGAACTACAAGGTATGCCCTTTACAAGACTCGGTGACACAATAAATCCATGGAAGGCACGTGCCAATATCCTACAATGAAACCATGCAACAACATTCAATGATGCTGAGTATATACAAATAGGAAAGGCTGACCGGAGGCCCCAGAACTGTCACTCGAAGGACTGCTGAGACCCAAACGTCATCAGGCATGTTTGAAGTTACATTTGGCAGGAGGTCTTTGACTGCTGTTATAATTTTTAAACCTTTATTTCATAAAACAAAATGAAGAGTCCTCTCCCTAAACCCCCAAATCTGTAGTTTTTATATTTGGTGCAATGGGAGCAGCTTAAAAGGACCATCACTTGCATTAGCTTTGAAATGTTGCTTTTCTCAGTGGTCGGGGTAATAGCTTCCTTTCTACTCCTGCAGCGGAGTTTGTGAGGATGATTCATGAAACAAGAAAGGCTAGCCAGGGTCAAAGTCAGCTGTCTTTCCTGCCAGGAATATGAAAGTGCAGCTATGTTTTATGATTTTATGGCCTTTGAAGATGGCTTCTTAATTTTGGTATAGAAATTAAAACCAACCACATAGTTCTGTGTCATTTGATTCCAAAGCAGTTGCTGTTTATTTTCATTCACTTATTCATCCAGTAAACATTTACAGAACAACTACTGTCTGCTAGGTATTCCTCAAAGAACTTCAGAGACAGACCCAGGAGCAAAACAGCTGGCAAGAACAACTGTGAACAGTGGTAAAGCAAAAAATGGCTGTGGGAGGTGGTCTTTTATAGTGTTGTTCTCTGAGGGTAAAGGGATATTTGTGAATAAGATCTAAAGGAAGAGATGGAGCAAGGCATCCAGGTATTTGGTTTCTGGATGGGGTACCAGGAAGGAGCATGCGTCGAGGGTATTCTGAGTGAAGCAGGGGCTGCATGGTTGAATTCAAGTGAACAGAGTAAACAGGTCAGATTATGGTAGCCAGGGAGGGTCAAAAGATAGGGAAGATAATTTCAGCGACTTTATTGATCACTTGAATATGTTATTCTGAGTGACCTGGGAAGATATTATGGCGCTTATTGGAAGAGTAGCATATTTGGGCTTGTGTTTTAAAAGCATCATGCCAGAGAGAAAGTGGCCTGGGCTCAGATCAGATCATGGATGTTCCCTGAGTCTAAGAAAGGCCTTGTTTCTAAAGTACAGTATATGAAAGAGTAAAGTTAGGAGTGCTGATGAGATTTTCCTGTGTAGAAGGATGAAACTGGCATTTTGCCAGTCTGGGGAAGACCTTGAATCAGTGTTTTGGGACACAGTACACATCTCAGTGAAGATGTTTATCAGGGAATTAAGCCCACGAATCCAGCCTCCAGGAAGGAGGAGGTTGGGATTAGAGTTGAAGATGTGGCTTATACCATTGTAGAGATGGTTCTTAAGGTTCCAAGATGGAATAGATTCACCTAGAAAGGGGCCATCCAGTACCAGCTGCTAGAACATGCTCACTCGGGCAATTGGGGAAGGCCAGTGCACAGGAGCTCTGCCAAGAAGCATTTTCTGACTGTGTCAAAAACCACAGATGCAGCCAGAGAGCCGGTGGCTGCACTGCACAGGCAGGCGGCCACTGATATCCTTAGCAAAGCCACTATCCTGGGATGAAAGACTGATTCCAAATAGCTCAAAAGGCAAGGAAAGAAAGTTAGTGAGTAGACACAGCTCCTCTGGGGGAGTTTTTCTTTGAAGGCAAGAAGACCAATAGATGGAAGGGAATGGGGTCATGGGACCAAGCAGAGGGTTGTAGCACAGGACTGTATCATTAGTGGGTGAAATTCTACAAAGAATGGAGACATTGATAATGCTAATGGGAAGGGGATATAGGCGAAGCAATGGCCTTTGTTTGGAAAGGATGTGTAAGACACACCATGAACCAATGAGACAAACTTCCCACTATGGCTTTAGGAGCTTCTATAGTCATCCATAACAGGCTTTCCCAGACAAGATCAGGAAAACGAGAAGCCAGGATGTTTGTAGTGTGTCTAAATGGGGCATTCAGAAGTGTAGTGCTGGAAAGGAGAATGATGGGAGTGGGGTGGGAGTGAGGGCTCAGGGACTTTCTCAGTTGGGTGAAAGAACTTTAGAGAAGTGAGTAGTGGGAAGAGCAAGGTGGGGTTTTGATCTGGAAATGCCAAAGAGACATTATCATGTGTCTTATTCCTATTATACTCCATCACACATATTTCCTCTGTAATAATGTAACAGCAGGTCTCAGGGAGTCTTTGGCTTAGAGCTTACTTAAGTTTCCCCAACTGCAGCAGGAGTATCAGTAGAAAGGACTTCTTGAAGAATTGTTGTATGAGTGAAGGAAAATGCATACTTAAATAAAAGTTTCAGCTGGAAGAATTTTTCAGGAAGAAATGTAGGTACAACTACATCCAGTTTCACAGACTTTTAGCTATTCAAAACATGTTTGAAAATGAGAGGTTTAAAAATGTAAACAATCATAGACACAGCAAAGGAGTACCTTCCCTCCTACTACTATACTCTCTCTCTCAGCTGCATTAACAGTGTAAGGCAGCTAAAACGTCAAAAAGAAAAGTACACGTATACAGTTTTAAAATTCACTTAGCTTGTCGCCCTTTCCCTCACTGCTACCACCCAACATGTGGAATTCTGACTCAGGAAGATGTTTCAGATTCCTTAAACACGCTACAGTATGTTTTAAACTAGGGGAAAGGATAAACAAAGGGGCAACTGAGGCATGGATATTTGCCAGGACCAATAGCGGTCCACTGCTGGGAACTAACACCTGCTGCCTTCCTGTTAGCATTGACAAGCCCTGGGTTCTGCAAAGCAGGTTGCTGTCTCTAAGAGATGAATCTGCAAAATCAAAACTCATACAGAGTGAGTGAATGGCTACAAAGATGACTACACATAGACAGAAGTCGGAAAGCTCAGGGAATATTATTATTTATTATTATCATTATGGTTATTTTCAATTTTATTTTCTAGATTTCACCCAAATGTTTAGTAACATTTTCATCTGACTTGAAACAGGGCAAACCTTATCCGGGAATCTTCGGTTTGAAAATTTTGGGGGAGATCTTTGTTGTTCTGCATTGTGAGCGTTCATGGACTGGCGTGTGTAGAAGAATGCCTGGGTCCTGTTCTTGTTTCATGTTGTGCAAATTGTTGGATCACACAAATGTCTATGGAGAAATTTCTGGAACAGCAACACAGTATGGAAATAAAAACACTAGAAAAGACTTGGCAAAAGTGTACGTGCTGTCAGCTTGGGACCTGGAAACCGTCAGGAGCTTTTACTCTTTGCTGGGTTCTGGAAAAGAGATCATGTTATAGTCACACTGAGTGAGACTCATGGGAAGACAGCTCATTTTGGGGTCCCCAATACTACTGTAGTGAGCAAGGCCAAATACAATGGCATTTATGAGAAATTCCAGCAGATAAATAATTAAAAAAATAGACTTAAGGGGTTAAAGTTTGTGTTACTATGATCAGGAAAAGCAAGTTCTTGGCTCATCGGATGGTTTGTTTGAGACATTTATATTTAACTTTTTGGGGAATTAACTAAAAGGTAATCAATAATTTATCACTGTCGAGATGGTTAGAACATAGTACCAGAGTCTCTGGAGTGTTCGGAGCAGGGTAGATTTTCTCATGCTTTCCTGCAACACGTTAAGGTCAAAGTCTCATCAACACCTCTATCTTCTCTCTTAACACTGATGTAACACATCATATACTACAAGCAGTCAGCACAAAGGCAGCGGTGCCTGTTCACATGGACTTTCCAAAACAGCACACACAGAGCAACTGCAAGACCCGAGGATATAGGAACACGAACTCGTACACACAGCAGCAGGGAAAGCGGTTTTCAAAGAAAACTTTGTGGGCTGTGAAGTCAGACTTTGCCCTTCTTTGTCAAAGGACTGGGTATCACACCTCTTTCTAAATTACTGCACAGGAGCGACCAGAGACACCATGATCAGTGCATCACAAGAACATACAGGAAACTGTTAGAAGTAGTGACAACCAGAAACTACAATGGCCTCGAAAAATGTGCACTTGATACAAGGGCTGTTAGGTGTGCACCCCAGAAAGGAATGGTAGTGTTAGAAGCATGGGACCCCATCTAAGTGACCTCTTGTGAGTTTGCCCTAACCTTAATGTACTCTACTGAATACGAAATCACAATAATACAAAGAAGTCTAGGTCTTGAAGTTTGTTTAAAATTCCCCAAGAAAAGCACTGAGCTCCTCACTGGTGCTCATGTGGTACTTAATGTAAGTTGTTGTTTGTATGTTGTGGGGTGGCTATATGTGATCTGAATGGAATTGATGTGGGAGGACTCAGTCCATCCACCATTCACTGGAATCGAGAATCCCAAGCTACAATGTCCTGGCCAGCACTTAAGCACAGTGATCTCTTCTAGGTCCCAGGCCAAAGCTGTGGCGTGACCATGCTCAGTGGGTTTGCTAAATGGCCAGCAATTTAATGTACTGAGAGTGATTATGTCTACTAAAGCTTAATCTCAGGGAAGGCTGTTCTTCTATGTAGAAAAAAACAGACGCCTGCCTAATTTCTAGTAACAAGACCTTTTAAAAGGAAAGATCATAACAGAAGAAAATTTAAATTACAATAGGTAAAGAGAACACACATCCCAGAAAAAAAGCAAGCAAAAGGAAATTCACCCCCAGTGGGAACTGTATGATGAACAACAGGGCACCATTCTGATACATTGTACGTGACCAAGGTCTCATGATGTCAGAATTGAGACCTGTCATAAATGCCAGAATATTTACTTTTGAAGATAACTGCTTCAAGGAATTCTATAAATGTATTTTGAGGAGCAGAGATTGGTGGGCCTCTTTTAAATTTGCTTTTGCCTTATACTTAGTGCAAAATATTTGTACAAAAATATAAAAGGCATGGCTTGATGTTTAACGTCTGTGTTTTATTTTGTTTTGTTGGCACCAGAAAAAGCTCATGTTATGTTATGTCACTGTACATACTGTAAACAAGACGGCATTAATATGTTTTCTTATGTTTTTTTTTGTTCCAATGAATCTAGATTTTAAAAAATACATTCACAAACTACCTTATGTTTAAACACAATGATTCCCTTTTATTTCTTAACTGTACCCAAAGTCCCACAATAAAAAATCATTTAAAGCTGTGTGTTTCGGATGTATCACTTAGAAATAAGGATGAAACAAAACAAAACATAAAAACAAAGATCAGTTTGCAACATAATTTAAAGAAGCCTCTGGTTCAAACTGTCACAGCAGCAATATAAAGAGCTGGTGGCAATCACATTTGGAGACAAGATCCAAATCCATATCAGCATCCAATTCCAGTAGTTGCTGAATTTGTCCCATGGAATTTGCGAAGACAGTGTCGATCAGCAGCATAACTCCAGCAGTAAAAATGAGAACGGGAGGATTTCATTGCTTTTGAGAACTAGAGGGCTCATCTGGTAATCACCTGAAGACCACCCTCAATTCATTCCTAGTGTTACCTGCTTCAGATAACTGCAAATGACCATCACCCATCTTGGAATATTTCCCTTTCTCATCCCCTTTAGCCATCACCTGTCTCGGAATATTTCCCTTTCTCATCCCCTTTGGCCAAACCATTTTCCTAGTATGTGTTTCGTTCTCATTAATAGTACATTAGCTGCTCATTTGCTTAGGCAAAGTCAGTAGGATCACAGTTTTTGTTTTTCTTTTTTGATCCATTTACAGTAATTGCATTCTTTAAAACCGAACCTCATTAGACTGTCATTGAAGTTTTTTTTTCTCCCTCCAATTTTTAAAGAACAATTTGGTGAACTACTGTTTTGAAAATATTTAATATAGCTGAGATTGCCGAATTTAGCTCTCTATATGTCTCCTGGAGATAACACTGCTGTGACGAACAGAGAAACATAAACAAACAAAACGAGGTAGGTTAAAACAGGAAGCACAGCACAGATACCATTTCGCAACACCTGGATACCATAGGCGGCCATGCTTACAGCTTTGGGAAAAATCCCAGCCAGTCACATAAAAGTTCAAATCATTCGAGTAAGGGTTTTATAGACACAAGTCAACCTGAACTAAATACACACACACCTCTGCACAGATGTTGCTAACAGTATGTTGGGAAGTTGTGAGGAACATAACATGATTAGGATCTCAGAATTTTGGCCAAAGCCTTGCCTTCAGGTTCCCTAAGACCTGAGCTGTTGGAGCCTGCAGTGTCTGTGCAGGCTTAGGAGTCTAGTCTCTTGACCCAGTGAGGACACAGCAGCTCAGAAATATTTCTTAGTGATTCTTCTTTGTCACAGTTTAAAATCTTGACAAAGTGGCACCCTTGGGCTGGTGTTCCAGAGCATGGTTGTCATGTAACCTCAGCTGCAGGAAGGATCTCAACCATTCTCAACCCTAACAAATCCAAATGAAGGGACCTCTGTGCGGGGAGGCTTTGTGCCTTGAAGAAAGAACGTGTGTGTATTTACATAGACATATTAGCTCATTTCTCACAAGCTCCTTCTGGGTGACCCACCTGTCATCCCATGTTTTGCCCTGATCAGTTGCATAATAATGGAGGGACAGTGGTATCCCAGAGTCCCTCCCCAAGTCACAAGTCCACTCAACTCAATGGCATCTCTGTCCCACTCAACACCCTCCATTCTAGAAAGGGCCATATCAAACTATGGCCTGTCAGACTCACAAAAGTGGTAGTTGATTTTATTAGATTAAGGCTAGTAGTTTAGCCATTTAAAATCTATTTCCCCAGAGAGGAGAAAGCTATTTTGCTTCTCTTTCAAAAATTCATTAGCCAGTAGCAATTAGAAAGAAAGGAAGGAAGAAAGAAAGAAAGAAAGAAAATAACAAAACAGCCTGTTCGGTTGGTGAAGGCAAGAGAGTTCTTAAATTACCCGACAATGAGGGTATAGCCTTCAGTGCAGGGAGATAAGGTACATTTATTGTGCTGTCTCTCACTACTGGGAATTGGAGTTTTACAACATACCATATACTTAAAGCTAGCAGGCAGACAGAATTAAAAAAAAAAAAAAGACTAATTTCCCAGTATGTATTCCTTTCCCCATTCTTACAAAATAAGGGGGTAAAGAAAAAGAAAAGTTAAAAAAGAAACCCAAAGCAAAAGAACTGAAAAGCCAGCATGAACACAGCTTAATCATAAAAGCACACGATATTTGTTTCTATCCCTAACTCTGAAGGGCACAGGGTCCAACTCTGTCCACAGACAATGCAGCATCCTCGGGATGTCACGGACATTCCTGCCACCTCTTTCTCTCCTTCTTAACCAGGCTGCAACACTGAAAGAGGGGCTATTGGGAGGGGCGGAGGGGAAGGAAGCGGGAAAAGGAGGCGGGATGTTCAAGCAGGCCTTCCGGTTCTGCCTCTAGACTGGCATACGTCCACACGGGTTACGTTCTCTTACATTAGAAATAACGCCATGAAGATAAGTGCCAAGTGCTCTTCTGTCACCAGTTCATCATGGAATTTCTGTTGAGGGTCATGAAAAACACTTGGCTACTTCCTCCAGATCGCACGGATGCGAAAAAGACCTGTTTGGAATTAAAAACAAGTTAGTTCAACTTCATGGGTTGTTTTCCCCCTTCTCTTCTTCAACTGTCCAGCCATTTTCTCTCACATGTCCTATTCTTGCCACATGCCAGTTAAGTTTCTGTGGCCTGTGTTTATAATGACTTTTGAGACAGTGCACTGTCTATGTTGCCATTATGTTTTCTAACATTTTTTTTTTTTTTTAATTTATTGCTCGACTCCCGGCCTGGCACAGTGATGATTTCTACAAAGGTACAGGGACAAACTTTCTCTCCCTTGCAAGTGACATGGAGGCAGATGAAAGAGAATCCCTTTAAATTCCCAAAGTTGGGGGCAAAATTTGGCAGTTTGTACAACTTCAATGTTTGGTTTTTAAACTTAAAACAAAGATATTTGAGTGGCTATGGTTGACGGCTAAGGCCTATCCAGTCTGGTGCTTCAGGGTTGACGTGTGACCTCTATGCTGATGCTGGCAGATCCCAAGCTGAAGGAGATAATGGCATTAATAAGCAGAACCACAGTCAATATTAGGTCTGAACCAGTTCATTCATTTTGTCAAAGGCCTGGGAGAAGTGAGCAGATTTAGATTACTGCTTGCTTGAGCCGAATGTCAGTGAACCACTGCCCCAGGAAAATATTGTTTGGGGCTGTGAAATGGTCCTTCAGTCAGCCTGTGTCTGTGGTCTGAGGAATGCGTGTGCCACCAGCGCTACTTGTTCCTACGGCTCCTTAAGAAACTTGTGGAATTACCTAATGCTACAGAGGAAAGCACAGCTACTCTAAGAGGCCAGAGAATCGAATTGGGGAGGACAGTGAGAGTTTGCTGAGAAGAAAGGGTTGCTGTTGTTCCCAGCTGTGGGTTCAGGGACTAAACTATAGGCTCAAGCCTGGGAGTATGGGCTGGCCCAGGCCTGCTGGAGTACCTTGTCAAGAACCACAGCGTACTTGTCCACACCCAGGCATTTCACATCTTAGGTTCTAGGCCTGTAAAAGTGTTGAGTCTTACTTGTCAAGTCTGGTGTGTGACATGGTCTGATAAGTCCCCTGGTAACCATCCTTGTCTCCCACAGCTGCTGTCCACTAGACCATATTAGGTCAGAAGCAGTTAGCCAGAATCAAAGAATCCAGGCCCATATTACCAGGGTTGGATAAAGGCCAATCTGGATTCAGGGGAACTGGGGTGAACAAAGAGATGTAAACAGTTCAACCCATCACATTCTTTCCTACAGCATTCATATCTGCTGCTTTGGGGACATGGTTGTCAGGCTGACTCATCTTAGAGGGAGGGTGAGGTAGAGCATGACCACTTCAGTGTACTCTTATGGGGTGACTGATCATGCTGGACAGACATGGTCACTTGTCTTAGAATGTAGCCCCACTGTGACATGTCTGGAGACACATGGCTGGAATGAGACAGGACATGGCAGAAGTTGAGTTTGTGACTATTTTTCTTAGGAATGAGTGACATTTTTTAGAAGTTCGTTTCCTACATGTCCAATGTTTTACACTAAAGGGTAAATATATTATGAAAGCTAAGTCCCAGTAGTGTCCCCATGAAAGGCCTAAAAGTGAAAACATAAGGCTGACCCACTGTGGGATGATTAATGATGGGCCAGCTACTCTGAGTGCATAGGAGGGTCTGCGATGGTTGTTAATCACCAGAAGGGCCACAGGCCACAAAAGTTACAAAGAGTCTACAAGAAAGTTTTAGATGTTTTATGTTAGCTTGGATGCATGAGTCATAGATTCTGAATGTTCACATGAATCAAACCAAGTGATGCCATTTCAAGATAGTTTTGATCTCTTAACACAGATGTGACTCATCAGTATAAAGGAAAATGAAGGTTTCACAGGTACCTGGTGGTCTCTTAAAATGCAAACACTAAAGCAAAGTTGAAACGGATTTACCTTATCATTTCTTTCACATAGAAACTTTAACCTTTGAGCTCGCTTATGCATAAATACTCCATCCAAATGTCCTGTTTCCACTGACCGGATCTCAATAGCTTTCTCGCCCCAGCCCATTATCTGATTGGAATGAATGTAGGCTGTCAAAAGGAATTTCCAAAACTGCATTAAAAACATTAGATAGGCAACAACTCACAGCATCTGTTCACATCTTAACCACAAAAAAGGACAAAGGACTTGAGATTAAACAGACAAAGCAAGTCTTACAGTGTTAGTCACATTAGTCATGGATTTTTTTTTTCCTTTCTTTTTTTTTTTTTTTTTTGTGGTGTGTGTGGACTCAAATGGTTGTTTCACATTTCTTGGCTTTCGTTTCATTTGGGGGGTGTAACTGCTGAAGGAGATAAGGAATGGTTAACCTACCCACAGATGTGGGCATTTCTCCCCACTGGAGAACCACATCCTTTGTGATCCGGCCATAGGTGTTCACATACACCCCCTCATCCTCATAGCAGACAAGCATTTCCATTCCATCCGTTTTGGGCAAGATGACAATAGCATGAGGAGTGATATTGCCCTGAATCTAGAAGACAAAGAAAGGGCAAGAATCACTCTACTTAAAATCAGGAAAGCTTTTTGACTTTTATTTCTAGGAACTGTAATGAAATTTTATGTCATTTTTACTGTAGATATTGAAATCTAATTTAATGACTTCTCTTGTCAAATGTCTTGGTCTATGCAAACATAGCTACTTGATCCAGAATCCGTCTTACCTGTTCTTAAGAACAGTAACACTGAGTGTATGGAGTACTAGTGTGCTAATCAATGGACTACTTGTATACATAATTTCTAGTCCTTAGACAGGTTCACCATCACAGAAAGCTTTGTTGCAAACGAGGGAGCTGCATCTCAGTGTTATGTGACTTGACCAAAGCTACACGAGTATTTAGTGGTAGAAGTAGGCTCTGAGCACAATTTTCTGATTCTGAAATTCATGGGTTCCACTAGAATCACTGCTTCCAAAGAATGGAAGAATGCCAGATGCCTACCAGAGGGCCATGGGTGAAGTACCCGGAACCTTCACCAGGGAGCTCTAATACCAGAATTATCTAAATTAGTGATTTCTTTGGGGAAAAAAGGTAAAATTACCCTACTACTGGACACACTGCTGACATAAGCATGGATTGACTGGTTCTATGGAAAGGGAGATGTCACTACTACTCCTGGTTGACAATTTCACATCATCCCACCATGTTATTAACAGGGCTTTGGGGGATTGAAGATGATCACAGTGGTGACCAAGTCTCAGCTTAGATGCAGACAGGCAAGTAAAAAACTATAAAATTGCAGCAATGGGTGGCTCTTGCATGTGTGTAAATGCATCAAAACACATGCATGGGGACTGGGCTTCTTTAAAATCTCAAAATGCCAATAAGCTATGGACTAGCCTCAGACTATCCTGAGAGTTTATTAGCCTTGGAATTCATGAAACATAGCTTACACCACACTGGCTCTAATGTGTGCATCTATACAGCATTTCCATTAAGGGTAAGGTTTTATGCAATGAGTCAGTATAGTTATTTGAATATCATATTGTTAATAAGAGGAACTTGAATATGTTTGGTCCTGAGCCAATTTAATGGTAATGGTAATACTCCTACAGAATAGGTACTTGGAGTCCCATCTTACAGCTGGGAAAACTGAGGGTTGGAGAAGTTTCCTAGCATATCCACTATTGTCAGGTTCACACATGCTAGACATCGTATGAGGCCTAGTACATCTGCTCCACCACACCTCATTGCCCCCAGACTGATGAGAAAAACTGGAAATAGCAGAAAAGAGACCCCCCCCAATAATTTAATATCTAATCATTGTCTTTCTCTAGCATAGACTCCAAAACTGAAAACAGGAACTCAGATATTGAATAACATGGATTTCAACTTGAAATCCAGAGAAACAAGATGATATCTTCAAAATAATAGGATTTTTGTGCTACTTGCTTGAGGGAGTATTAAACCTTTAAGAACATTCTGTCTACTCAGTGCTACCCAAAGTTCACAACTTTTACAGATTAGCATGATTACAAGTGAAAAAAAGGCATAGCCTAATCTCTTTACATGCAAGCTGTCATACGGTGCAGGAGACAGTTCAATTCTAAAAACTTACATGGGATGGTATGTAGATATCATAGGAGTTTCCAGAATCAACATCAATTACATGGAAACCAGTGTGTGAGCCAAAAATGACCTTTAACCTTTGACCTTCTTCTACTGTGAGGTCAACAAGCAGAGGCTTATGCTGAAGATCTGCAAAAGACTTTAAAAATCATCTTGTTAGTATCCATGCTGTTAAAAGAGGTTATCTTATTCCTGAGAGTTTCACCTGGCCATTGTCAGAAGGGAGTGTTTTTTTTTTTTTTTTTCCCACTGAAAAGCTAGGAAAACATCTCCTTCAGGTTTAGGTCTATTTATACTTGACTCCAGGAGGAAAACTGTATTGTCTATTTTTTTGTTCCCCCCTTTCCCTTTCTTGTCTTGCACAGTAAAGATTTACAGCTGTCAATTTTGATAGTGGCATTGTGGGTTAAAAGCATGGTGGCTAGATGCTGCTGCTCTTTTCTGTATATTTCTGGCCTTTGTCCTCTAGAGAGTATACAGTGACCTCTTTGGCCTCTTTTCCCCACATGGTACCCAGGTTGCTACCTTCAAGAAAAGGCTGTGAGCATCACTGTCAAATTTGTTGGAGCTATTGGGAGTAGACTGGCCACGATTTTCCTATTGTGATTGTCAATTTCTCTAAACTTTATACCGTATTCTGAGAGTTATGTTTAGGGGATGAGAAAGGGAGACGTGGAAGACAAATAACAATACCCATAGCTTGTCTTATCTTCAAGGATTTTACTGAAAAGCAAAAGAGGAGAGCTCTAGCCAAGCTTATCGATGGATCCAGGCCCTGAGTTCCATAGCTGTGAAGAGTTCCTGTCTGCACCTTTGTCATAATTCTGTGCTTTTCTCAGATATTGAACTCTAGGGGAAGATTCAAGAAAGCACACCTGCTGTTAAACATTGTTCCTTCCACATCTATTACAGTCATTCTCACAGCACAGGAAGTTAGCACTGTTTGTCCTTGTCCTAGGAGAAGGTTCCACCTCTGGTATGTGCCAGTTTTCCCCATTCAAGCCTTTGCCTCTGTGCTTCCTCTTCTAGGCTGGGCTTGATCTACTGAGGGGAGTGTTTTGTTCTCTCATGGGCTGTTCCAGGACCCTGAGGGTTGTGACTTAAGTCGGAATGGGAAGGAGATCTCGAGTGAAAAGCTTTTCTGGAGAGAGATTTTGGCAGCAAAGTAGCACCATATTAGCTTTGTGAGACAGCCTTTCATTGCTATTATGAACAAAATGTAATCCAAAGACACCCATGGCTAAACACTAAGCTGAACTCCTGGAGTCTAATTGCAGAGAGGGAGGAGTGATGAGCAAAGGGATCAAGACCAGGTTGCAGACACCCACAGAGACAGCTGACCTGAACAGAGGGAGCTCATGGATACCCAGACTGATAGCTTGGAAACCAGCATAGGACCAATCCAGACCCCCAGAACGTGGGTCTCAGTTGGAGGGCCTGGGCAGTCTAAGGGACTTCTGACAGTGGGACTAGGATGTCTTTGGGAGCACATTCCCCATGCAGGGATACTCCTTTAGCCTAGAGACAGAAGGGAGGGCCTAGGTCTTACTCCAAATGACTTAGCAGATTTTGATGATCCTTACTGTGGAAGGCCTTACCCTCCCTGTGGAGTGGGTGGAGAATGAGATGGGAGGGGATTGGGGGTCATGGGAGGATGGCAGGGAGAGGGGATTGGGATCGATATGTAAAATAAGAAAAAAAAATTCTTGCAGTAGAGTGAGCCTCTGGAGGAAAGCTCATTTCTGTCCATGAATCTGTCACCCACAACACATCACAAATGGGCATTTGAACTACAAGAACAAGATGGGAGTGGAGTGATTGTTCTCTGATAAAAATCCCAGGGCATATTTACAGTAGGTGACAAGAAAGAATAAATAAAAATCCAAAAGCCAATTACAGTAAAAAAGGTAGGGAAAATGAGGATCAGTGAGAAATGCAGAGAGATTGGGAGATAAATTCACATTGGAGATGGCTAAGCTATGTAGTTCTGAACACATCAGTGTGATTGAAAGCAATAATTCTCTTGGCACTCATCTTTTATAATCTGGGGACAATGGGACAAAGCACATTAGCATCCCACTCTAGTTGAACCTCATGGGGACCCAACCTATTTGTGTATAGACCAAGACAAGGTAAACAAATGCAAGGACAAGCAGCATGGAAATGCAGAAGAATAAGGTCTTCTCAGTGGGTGACTGCCTTCAGCATTCACACCAGAGATGTCCTCATGAGGTAGCACTGAACAAAGAATCAACAATCTTAGTTTATTCAGAAATGCCAGTGATGATTAGCAGATCTGGAGACACAGTGCTGCCACAGATCTGTCTTTTACAGGCAAAACAACAGGCAGTTTTTGGCTTTCAGTGGATCTACAGCAGACACCGTTGTGTAATGTTGTGTTTGGTACTTTTCCTGGTAACTGTCCTAAACTAAATTCCTCTTGAAGTCAACAGTTCATAGATTTTCAATGGAGGAGGACAATCACAGGTTTTAATGTGATAAGCTGTATAGTAGTTTTAATACTAAAGTCTTTTGAAATAACGAACCCAAGAATTGTTTTTAAAATCAGTTTTACTCTATATAATAAAACTGATATTGGCTTATGTGGAAAATAGAATTCTGGTGGAATCTGAAGTAAACAAGCAACATCTGTGCTTACCTTAAATGCCATGAACTTGTGGTAAGGTTTTGGGGCCCAAGCATATATCTCCACTGCATTCTTTAAGGCAATCACCAAGAACTTGATCCTCTCATATTTAACTGAAATGGAAAAGAAGAGAGTAAGAATTTAGAAATGGCATCAATTTACCCAAGAATTTTTGTATTAATCAATGAAAACATCTGCCTGTCTACATGCTTTCACAATGGAGGGTGTTATCCGTGGAATAGATTGATTTTTTTTTTAACACATAAATTTAACTTTTTTTTAGTGTACCTGGTTGTCATAATGCCAGAATTTGTTAGGTCTATATTAAAGGATTTTTCTTTATCTAAAGATGGAACAATTTCATTTTAGACATGGATATTCACTTTGATAAGGACCTATGCCATTTTCTTATGTTAGTTTGCATGTCTTGTATACTTACTTGAATGTAGTTATGACAAGATGCTAGAACAATTAACAAACTTGTGGAAATATAAGCTTATCATGTATTATTATTTGCTTGTTATTCACATTTGAGTCCTAATGATTAAATGAAATAACTGTTTATATTGCTATGAAAAATGAAATAATAGGAGCCCTGGGTTCTGTCAGTAGCTTATTTTTAAGGGTTTCATGTACTTTGACAAATCCTTTTGCTGTTTATGAAAATAAAATATTATGGATCTTCACTTGGTGAAGTGACTGAGTGCCTAATTCATTATTGCCTCACATAAAATAGCACTCAACAAGTACGCACCAAGTGAATGCCACATTCTGCCATCTGAATTCTTAGTTACTGTGGTCTATGTGTTTCTGATAACAAAATGACCAGTATTTACCACGATGACCTTGAAGGAATACAGAATTCTTTAAAGACTTTGGACTTTTCACCGCTGAAGAACAGTCTAATTCTTTAATCCAAAAATATTTCATAATCCAGCCATTTTTTTTTGTATAAAATATCTGTTCAACAGCATCCTGTATCATAAGGAAGCTAGATAGGATAGATTTTTCATATAGGTACATGAAATGTTGAGGTTCTAGTTGGTTTCTTTATGAATTTTTATGATGTAAACTTTTTTCCTTTTTTTTTTATGCTGGGGACTAAACCCAAGTCCTCATGTTAGGTAAGTGTTCTGCCACTGAGCCACTGAGCTCTATCCTCAGCCAGCTTCTTACCTGAGACACAGGAAAAGATTCAAAAAGACTAACACAGCTTCAAAAGGAAAGTCATGTAAGTATATATAGAACAAAAGAAATATTCTATAGGATGTTTGTATTTTTTTTGTGTGTGTATGTTATTCTTATTTTATTGTTTATATAAAAGGTCACACTTTTTAAGCGTATTATTCAAGTTATTAGCAGGTGTTGCCATTCTTTCTTTCTGTTTTTGATATTTCATAGGAATTTGAGTACAGAGGACTAGTTATAAACATTACAAGATGGCATTGCTAGAATCCCACAAGGAAAGCAAAACAGAGAGACTCTGTGGTTCTTTGGATAATGAGGTTAAAGTGTTTCTGGTAATTAAGATGGTCTCAAATTTCTAATAAATACTGATCAATCATTGCTCTCTAGTTGCACTTTATTTTGTAGTTTTTGATTATAGGTCAGCACATGCATGTCAGGGCAATGAAATGAGATAGCCTTGACCAGAAGGACCAAACTAGAAATGTTAGGAAGGCTGATGGAAGATGTGTAGGTTAAACAGGACTTAGACAGCCTTGCATTTTTGGAACATTTTTTCCAGGTATAGCAAGACACAACATTCATAAAGGTTACTATCTTTGCAATTAGTTCTATGGTTTTATAATTATTCAGTGTTAGTTTGTGCAATGAAATCTGATCACTAAAATATCTGGGTTAATAAAAAAATCAACAATAACAGCACAATATTTCTGTTTAAAGCAAATACTACAGCTTTTTCAAAGCCATATTTAGAAGCAATTCTAAATTTTTCTCACTGTTGCACTTGAATTGCCCTGATTTTTCCTGAAAACAATCATGGCTTTGCAATAAAGAGATGCACAGTCTTCAAGAGAGAAGAAACACTCGCCGACAGGAAAGCTGCCTGCTGTCTGGTGGGAATGATGTGGGCTGCTTCTGATTCTTTGCCACATAATCAGATTAAAGTAAGAGAAAATGGCAGTTTCTGAATATAACAAGCAAGGACAAAGTCTACTTTCCCAAACAAAAGCACCAGTGGATCCTGAATGTCACCAGGTTGCTATGGAAAAAATACTCCTTAATGCAATCTGGTTTGTGAATAGCACTGTGCCCATTCAACATCCCTTCCTTCCTTTAACAAAAACTACTTAGCAGGTTTCCATGTTCCGGGAATCTACTAGCTGCTGGGAATCAATACTGACAGGATGAGGCTGTGGGATGCATTTTACAGTAGCGAGTGTTTATGAACTTCATTTATATCTCTCTTTGTCACACCTTTGTGTTTTCTAGATAAGTGCATATAAATAAGCCCACTGTATTATAAAGATTACAGAGACCTCTTTAGGGTAGAAAACACAAAGGGAAGTTGCCTCACTTGGATCTTCTAGTCACTAGTCACTGTTCCCTAGTGTCTAAGATGGTCGCTTAGAATGAATGTGAAAGAAAGGGACAGGGAGACTGCCCTAGACCAGGGCCCTCTCTAGCTGTCCAAATATAACATACTAAGGTTCCAGGACAGGATAATATGAATGACTTAATTCTTCTTTTTGAGTTCATGTTTCTACTTTCAGTCATCAGTCATGTAACACATGTGGCTGGACCAACTCCAGAGGTTACAGTTTCAACCCTGCACAGTGCTTTCCTCAGACTGCCTGAGAGTACCTTTGGAGCAATGTCTACAGCCACACGGCCACACACACTTTCATCGTAATTCTCGGGTTAAAAACAAAGCTAACATACTGTGTGTATTTTACAAAGCTGTAGAATTTCCTCATTCACCTCTGGTCTGAATTGACAAGTTTTATAGGTAAATAGCCTCAAAGCCACATAGTCAGTCTCATTTCTAAATAAGGACAGTGTCTACTGATTTCACAGCATAAAAAGAATCACGTTCACAAAACCATTTCCTTTTCCCTACAGCTCCCACTCATAGCTCTTACCCCTACACTACTTCCTACCTCACACTCAGAATGTAACATTTTTAAACTTTTGATTAAAGCCATTTGAAGAGTTCAAATAACTTATCTCCACAGCTAAGGCATGTGGTACACCATGATGACTTCTTTCTTTCTTGCCTTTCCTCATTTTTTTCACACTCTTGCTTTCTGTGTTTCTAAGTAGATGTGAACCGTCTGCTAGGAAGTGTCTTTCAGCATGGTCAATCAGCCATGAGCTACTCATGTCTGTCATTTTTTTTTTTTTTTCTCCTTTGGAGCTTGACATTATCTTGCTTTGCAGGCCTGTGGCAAAGTAGTCCTGGGTTCCTTTGGCCATCATTCTGGGCCCTTCATTTACCTTTTTCTTGAATCACCAAGTTGTAAGTTTTTATTTTAGTGAGACACAGCTTCCAGTAGCTTTCGCAGAGACTGTGCATGATATGGAATATTCTGGAGATATGGTATACCTATAAAGTTTTCCTTTGGCTCCTAAAACTGATTGTATTATGTTTAATTTTATGTGTTAATTTGACTGGGGCACATCATATTCAAACATTTGGCCAGGGGTTATTCTAGGTGTTTCTATAAGACTTTTTCTGATTAGAGTAATATTTGAATTAGTAGCCTGGATAAAGCAGAGTGCAATGGGATTAAGTTAATAATTTGTCTATCTGAATAGAACAAACAGGCCCAGGCCTCCCTATCCTCAGTTCAGACAGGAGTTGTTTTGCCTCCAAACCTAGGTTGAATTGCCACTTGTATGCTCTTGAGACTGTTGGGTTTCTGCTTGGAACATCACCCTCAATTCTTTGGGTCCCCAAGCTTTTGAACTTGGCTCTCCGGGTCTCCAGGTTCCCAACTGAAACATTTTTGGGAGTGCCTTCTTAGTTTCTAAAATTCTGAGAGCTAACTCCTGATAAAGAGCCTCTACAGAGCTCCGTCTAACTCTAACATCACCCCATTTTATGTGGTATAATGTGGGTTGAAAAGACTTTTTTTGAGATGGTTTCATGTATTATAAGGACAAGGATGACCTTGAATTTTTGATCTTCTTGCTTCCACTTCTGAAGTGTTGGGGTTTGTATGACCACACCTAGTTTATCCATTACTAGGATAGGTTTGTACATAGAAGGCAAGACAACACTAAGTGAGCTACACCCTAACCCTCTAGGTAAAGATAACTTTGCCTTTGGAGCTCTGAAGGTTCTGATGTTCTGGAAAAGCCCCAGGGTATTCTGATTCAGGACCTGTTTCATATATGCTGTTTATTAATTTTCTTATAACCTGGAAATTTCAAGGACTTTCTCATTTTTTTTTAACACTTAAATACCATAATGGGGCTTTCTTTTTGAATAACTATACTTGGTTCTCAGAATCGTTTTAATTTGCATGCCAAGACCTGCCTCCTAGAAGCCATTCTCTCCTCTTTCTTTCTCTCTATGTTCTCCATCTCTTCTTACTGTTTTCTCTCTTTTTATTGAGCCTCATGCTTTGAACCTCTTTGGTTGATCTTTTCTTCCTTATATTTTCTCCTCTTTTAAAAATGATTATTTTAATTCTCTCTCTCTCTCTCTCTCTCTCTCTCTCTCTCTCTCTCTCTCTCTCTGCATGCGTGCACAAGTATGAGCCAATGCCTGTGGAGGCCAGGGTGGTGTCAGATTCCCCAGGATTTAGAATTACAGGTGGTTGTGAGCATCCTAATGTAGGTGCTAGGAACCAAACTTCATCCTCTGGAAGAGGAGTAAGTGCTCTTAACCTCCCCCGCCCAAGTCTTCTCTCCAGCCCCCTGCAGGGAGAGGGGAAATCATTAGTAAATATGTACTGTTCACATGGCAATGGCCTTGTCCAAGAGCCAAGTGCTTCAGACTCACGGGAATACGAAAGACTTCCTTAGGTCAGGCTCAGGGAAATTGCAAAACCTTCCTTGGTCCATTTGTGGATGTTGAGAGTGTGTGTAGTGTCTGTTGACGCTTCCTCTTTTTGGATGTTCACAGCCAAAGATTGGTCCCCTACAGAGACTACAGAGAAACCAGCCTCCTTGTTCACTGCACACATTAGCTCTGTCTCCTGCTTTAGCTCTATACAATAAGCTTACTCCCTAGATTGAGATCATAGGAGATGTATAAAGTAAACATGCTCAGTTTCCTGGATGCTAGCACTTCTCCATCAGAGTGCACAATGCACCAGATCAGAGCCTTTCCTGTCTGTTATTCTTTATTTCCTGTCACCCCTGTCAGGTCACCCCTAAAACTGTGCAGATCAAGGCAGTTGCCCTGCTTGTCTTAGTTTTACTTCATAGGCAGGTTCTTCATTCTCAACTTTAAAAGCTTATATTAGTTTTATTCTTGCTAAGACTTTTTTGTCTTTCATTGACCTCCCCAATTCTACTGCACCTTTCAAAACACTCCTACTCTTTATTTAGAAGTACCCCCCTCAAATCTCTGTAAAATATAACTTCCTTTTTCTAGAATTTTCTCCCATGACTCATCTTCCAATGTCCTTACTTCCTGTTTATTCTTGCTTCCTGCACATGAGAGCTACCTGTCTATTCTCTGGTTGAGGTAAGCCAATCAATTGCCAGCAGTAACTTTAGAGAAGGAAGGTAAGTTAGTATCTGTACATTTAATTTTTACAAAGACAATTTTTTTTCAAACTCTTCCTTGTGCGTATAACCATACTGCCAATATTTTCAGAGCTATATGGGGAAGGTTTGTTTTTATGTATGCATGTAGGTGCACATGTGCCCTCACAATTATTTTTACACCACACTGGCTGGGTAAACTTTTCCCTTTGTTGCATTGCTGAGGACAGTGGCTTGCCTGTGGGGGGAGGGGCTAGACTCTTAAGACTCAACTTCTCTGCTTTTCAGCAACCCTATTTTCAGCTCTGCTGTGCACCTCTATCCTGGGGTCTTCCCTGGGGGGTGGGTGGGTAGGTGGGTGGATAAGTTCAATAATGGTCCTTTCTGCAGATTGAGAATGCAGCATCATCTGTCTGATCCCGGTCACACGGCCACTCTTATCCAGTTTTATGGCCATCTTTTATTTGCTGGCACCTCTTCCTTCGATCCAATCAGTTTTGGGGGCTTAGTATATTTTAATTATTTTACTGTCATTTTAGGGAACTTTGGGAGAAGCACATATACATATTCAAACTGAAGCCTAGCATTTTATTGTAAAAGCATTCATGAGTTCCATTAATCTCACTCTGGAGCGGGGGGGGGGGGGGAATAATTCAAGTACATGTTAGGGTTCAGCAACATTTTAACCTGGTGACACATACATCATCAACAGCAGATAGAAAGCACTGAGTACATTTAACCAAACAATTGGGACTGTCAATTTCCCAAACTGACACTTACCAACTTTGTAATGTATACATCCTTCCAAGTCCCCAACTGTGATCCAGCCCTGTTTCTTTTCCACTTCGGGGTCATTGTGCAGTATTCTGTTTCTTAACCATGAGAGATAGTAAACACGCAGCTTATTCTTCTTTCCTGTTGAAATAATGGAGTTTTAAATTCAGGCTCTGTGATAACTTTTCTCCTTCATTCACCTTGTCTCGATTGTTGCTGGCATCTGTGTGTCTGTGAGAGCATAATAACAAGGATTCCTACTCTTCCTCACTGTAAACTCTGTCAGGACTTGTAACAACAGACCCTAGTGTTTGGTCAAAACCCACAAATTGAACTTTTACCTTTAAGCGATTTCTTGTTTGAGGAAGCTGCTCTTATTGTTTCTTACCAGGTCTGCTGAACTTGATAAGTTCTACCTCTAAAACAGAGTCCCAGAACATTCTAGAACTAATCTCATCAAGGAATGTTGACAAATGGGTATGTATTTTAGTCTACCTATGTGGGGTGCCTCCTTGAGTTTTCTCTTCCCTCTCTTACCTACCCAGTCACAACAAAGACAATTGTTAAAATTTTTATTTAAATGATGAGACAAAGGAATTTAACAGGAGAAAGAGAAATAAATTCAGTAAAGCAAATTGAGTTTAGAAGATGATAATGTACAAAGTTATAGTGTTGAGGTTACCAAAAAGAATATTAAATAAAAACATCAAAGAAGAAAAAAAATGATGTTGATTTGGAATTCAAAACAAGGTTAAAAGTTCCCTCTCTCAGGATGATGAAACAACAGCTGGATGGCATGGAAGATTTATGGAGAGCAAAACTGAATCCACTCCATTGGGTTATTTGAGTACTAGAGAGAAAATGCACATTTCTATGGCTTTTTCTTAATGAGAAATTTAGTCTGTGCATTTTATTTCTCAGATATTTCCCATTGCCTTTAAAGAGGTTTTATGATCTACAGATGGGATATGTACCAGAAGAAGAGCATTCATGAGAGCTGATTTGACAGAGAACTGCAACAAGGCTTAAGCTGTGGGAAACACTGCACAGCTGTCATTTGTTTGTGTAAGCAGAAGCCCAGGTGATCAGTATAGCTACAGTGAGCAGAACCAGTGCTCCATCTTCCGGTGCCAATAGGACATGAACACTTCAAGAATCTCCCTTCTTGTTTTTATTATCTCCCTTTTTCCTTTTGTGCATCATGATGAGAAGAAATAGTTATACACAAAGGATGAAGACTTGCCACTAGCAGCAAAATAGAGCCTGGCCTTGAATTTTCTGGTAGCTTTTCCACTTTGCATAGATGACAGATAGATGCATGGTTTCAGTTCTTTATTGGGAGTGCAGTAATTAAGAAAGCAATTAGCCAGAAACAAAGACCGTATAGAACTGTATTGAAATCATAGTATTAGAACAATTTACTTGGTTAGCCTTTATTTTCAACAGCAAAACTCTAAACACTCAGTAGAGAAATAAAGCAAAGAGGAAATTATTTGCCAAGAGACCACACTTTTCTCAAACCATAAACACACCTAGAGAGTTAAACTTTGATCTTCAAGGTTCAACCCGGAAGCCCTATGTGGTCCTCTTTTGCATAACAAAGAGGAAGAATAGAGCTCATAAACTATGTTGCACGATGAGAAAGTGTCAGAGTCATCAATCTGAATGCCTGCACCTTATTCTAGAGATTCTGACCTTGGTTTAGGAGGAATGTTGGGTTTTTACAGTTTCTAGGTGTCTCTAATACATAAATAATACTGTTGAGTCCATAGCTGATGAAATAAAAAGGGGGGAGGGTAATTCATTCAACTCTTTCAAACACCACCAGGAAGAAATAAACATCTTCTTATCAATAAATATAGACTCCAGTTGTACTTTTCACCCATTAGTAATAAGGCTTACTTCTCTAACAAGGTCTTGTCCCATTTGAAAAACTATTGATGTGATAAAAATGTGCCATTGAGGATGTCCTACTCCACTCTACCCTCTTTCTAGTTACCTAGTAGTACAACTGTCCTTAAAACAATGGTGAATTACAAGCAGGCCATCTGGAGGTAAGAGACTTGCTTGCTAATCCCTGCCCAGAAGTCTTCATTTTGATATTCCTTACCTCAGAGTATGATAGTGACAGCAGTGCAGGCAGCTTTACAAGACTCTTGCTAAATTTTAAGGGAGCAAAAGCCCAAATACACAGCTTTTGTAATCAAGTCTGCCTCATTCAGGGTCAGTGCCCAAGCAAGTCTTCCTGTGGAGGCTGGATCCTCCAGGATTACAATATACATGCATGATCTCTGCCAACTATAACACTGTGCACCTGTGGTTTGCTGGGCAGGGCTTCTTTAGAAGCTAGGATGTCACCTTCCTACCTGAGCACTTCTGAGGGTCAGGTCAGCTGAAAAACATACCTGATATTGTCACAAGGACATTTAGTCCTTCTAGCACGTCCATCTGCTGGAACCGCCTCCGGTTGATCAGGTTGTAGACTTTGCCTTGGCCGCTTCTGTCTAAAAGCATCAGGCCATTTTCAGTTCCCACGAGAAGGTTTACACCTGGGAATTTAAGATGCACACAAGGACTGAGTTTTTGTGGGCCTTAACCAGTTTGACCTGGATCCCTATGAAGCCCAGAAAACTGTCTCATACCAGTGTAAACAAATAGACAGGTAGGTGCTATGGTAGACAGTGTAAAGGTAGCAGGTATAGCTCACTAATTCCATCACCGTTCCTCTGGTAACAGAACTACAATTTTAGTTTTTAAATAACAGCTATCCATTTATAGAGAGTATTTGCCAAAGGAGCCTTAGGCAGAGCTGTGTAAGTAAGCAAAATTGCCCAGCCTTCCCCTTTATGGGGAGTCTCCTCCCTGGTGCTCCCTGTATGTGCAACTTCTTTTTTCCTAAGACCCCATCCCACCACACCCCTACTCATCCAGTGATTTCTGAGGCAGCTAACCTTGTCACCTTCAAAATATACAAGTTTCCACTTCTACAATCTGTCAGCATGGAAGCCTTTCCTCTTCCTCACACATATACTGGAGGTTCTGTTCTCAGTCAGGGAAATAATAAGCCAGGTAAGGAAAAGCTGAGTCATAGAAATACTGATTTAAAGAATTTTGTTACCCAATTCTACCCTAGGACCCTGTAAGCCATTATCCTTATCCTGAAGCTGGTATGTAAGTCATTTTATCTGGATGATTATAATCCTAAAATTTTATACCTAAAGAAATTAGTCACCCATCACCCACTTATTAAGCTGTTTGTTCATCAAGAGATTTACAGTGCAGGTGATCTTAAACATCTCTTGGTATATATCTATCTTCTAAAAACAGGAATATCCTTTTGTCAAGTCCTACCATGTTCTCCAAATATCACCTTCCTACTCCAGAGCTATTGTGAACAATTCCTAGACTTCAATATTTGTTCCTGCTCACATGGCAAATGCCTTTAGCCTTATGAAATTATGATGTCCTAATTCAAGCCTAGCAACAGTTGGATTCAGTTGGAACACATCCTGATTTTCCTATGATACTATAAGTAATATAGGCCAAGACTTTGATAAACTATCCTCACATCTGTACTGAGTTTGAACCCAGCTAATATCGTCCTATCTACTTGATGAGAACATCATACTGATGTTTTCAACTGAAAAGGGAAGGCTCAACATTTGCTGGTCTTTTCAAGTTTTATCCAATTACTGCTGATTCTGAGGCCTTGGGTAAGTCACTAAAATATGCGGGGCTTGTTTTTAAGCTATAAAAAGAAGGTGGTGCCATTACAAGGCTTGTAGGATACTACATGGATCGCAGAGATAGGATGTTGGGTGCCACGTATAGTGCTAGACACATAAGTGGCTGAGTATTAAGTGGTGGCTGGTTCTGTGGTTGATATTTGCTCATTACTCTAAATGCCACCTTGAGACACACACACACACACACACACACACACACACACACACACACACACATAGTGAAACCTACTTTTGGTCACTCCCAAGGCTGTCCCATGTTAGTTCCCTCACACCTACAATTCTCCTAGTGCTTTCTGATGATAAAAGATGTTTAAACACTTTAAAGTAACAAACAAACAAACTAACAACATACCCCACAGAGCTGCACAAAGTATTTCGGAATTGAAGCGTTTCTTGTATTTTCTAATTTCGGGCGTATCACTATGAGGGCGGATGTTTGTTGGGTTCACATTCACCACTGAAATCTTCCTGGCTTCATTGAGTTTAGCCTGTTCTTGCCTAAGGAGTTCACTAGTAAACAGGGCTTTGAGAGAAAGAATTAGAGAAGTCAATAGCATCCTAATAGCCAGCCAGTGGAAGTATGGAGGGAGGACTTGGCTTGGGGTGTGGTATAGTAAAGGCACAGGAACCATGAACCCGTTTTATACTTGTTTTAGTAGGGTAAAGCATGTTCACAGAGCAGTATTTTATTCATTAGCAAAACAGACTTATAGACACTCCTTTGGGTGGTGTGGAAAATTAATATTAATCTCACAGAATCAAATATGCCATTCCTGTAATTACAAATGAGAAATAGTTCCTTTTTGAGACTTCACATAAGCTGACTTAAATGATTAGAGGGTTGCAGAAGGCAAAGAAGCAAGGCCATCCTCTTAGTTAGCCAGACCCGCAATGAAAGTGCACACCTGGAACTCAAAACAGCTCAACATACATTTCTGGAGTGTTAAGCACCGCACTACTTCGAGCATAGCGTTATACCCAGAAACTGTTTTTGAGAATTATGTGGTAAGTTTGGAGATCGCTGTGGAGTGGCTTTTCCTAGTATCCTGGGATACCTCTGGGTTTCTTCCAGATACATAATAGAAAAAAAAAAAAATCAGGGGTGGGGGTGGGGAGGGGAGAAAGAGATTTGCTTTTGGAGTTCCACAAAGAAATAGCAATAAATGGTGTAACATGAATTGATGAAACTTGTCACTAGGTTGTACAAGAAAGGAACCCTGTTTCTAAAACTTCAGGGCCACTTACCTGCAGCAGATGACTCGTCATCTTCTTCATCTTCATCAGTGGGAGATGTCTGGTACACTCTGGGGTCCACGAAGGGGGTGAAGGAGGCTTTGGTGCTGCTTCCCATACCATACTGATCAAAAAGCAAGAAGGGGAACTCAGTGCTGCAGAAGAGACAGCATTGGCTTTGCTTGCTCAGACTCGATACTGTCTACAGATAATGCTGCTGTCTGTTCGCTCGCTACACAAGTGTGGGTCTCTGTCCCGTCTTCTTTCCATACACTGTGTGTATGCAAGACTTTATTAGTGATCACACTACAAGTGTTTCAGAAAGAAAATTACATTTAGATGGCAGGTGGCCCCTCAATATATACACTCTTGTCAATGGCCATTACACTGGTGATTTGTCTCCACTTTTAAGTTAAGTCATCATGTATTGATCAAACGATCTTAAGAAAAGCAAAATTTAAGGCACATTGCTGCAGCAACACTGCATCCTGAAACATGTTGCCACAGCAACACTCCATCCCATCCCAATCAGCCCAGATCCAGCAATGCTCCATCCTGGAGCATATTGCTTCAGCAACATTCCATCCAGGAGCTCAAGAGATGCTCCCTTGGGCCCTTCCTTTCAGACCTGATGATACATGTGGATTTGAATCATCTCTAACAGTTTTAAATTCTTTAATCAGAGATAATTTACTCAGTGATTGGTGTTTCCTTCCCTTGGTAGCTTAAGAGGATGCTTAGGTCACATGCTTTATGTGGGGACTCTATGCAGCCCCTGAATTTGTATGCAATATACCCTGAGAGCTTACTTTAAATAAGTAGTCTTAAGTAAGTCTTAAGGGCTTAGACTGTACCATAAAGGCACAAAATCAGAACTAGATTAGGGAGTAATATACTCAATAATTTGGTGTCATAATGTAATTGATTTTGTCAAAAGAGGTGTTATAACCATCTGCCCATTTTGTCTGTTGTCATCTTTCCTTCTACAGAACCTTGTGTGTGTGTGTGTGTGTGTGTGTGTGTGTGTGTGTGTGTAAGTGGGGGAGGGAGAGGGAGAAGAAGGTGGAAGGAGAGAGGGAAATGTTCACATGTGTGCATCTTGGGGGTTAGAGGTCCCTATCAGCTATCTTCCTTGTTTACTCATGTATGTCAGTATTTTTGAAGCAGTTTTGACTAAGCTCAGAACTCTATTTGGCTTGGTTGGCTGGCCAATTGAGAGTGTTTCTGCCTCCCTGCATCTCTGACACTGGGGTACAGCCATACACCGCCACATTTACATGCATTATGGGGATCAGAACTCAGTTCTGCTTGTGAGGCAGGCACTTTTCCGACAGAGCCCATCTCCCAACTTCCCTATTATCCTTTTAATATCACAAAGACACAAGCATTGAACATCCTACGAACCCTTTGTGGGTATTACCATTTTAGGCATAAATTGTTAAGTTTTGTTGTTAGATTTTTTTATTTAAAAATAAATGGACATTACTAAGCCCTAATCATATAAGAACAAATTTGCAAATATCCCATTTGATTTCCTAATCGCAAAGATCCAACTTTAATTGCCTTCAAGATTTTTTTCCTCTACCCTTTTTTAATCAAATCCTTTCATTCTCCTCACATAGCAACTGCCCCCTCAGTACTTTTTCAGATGCTTTCTATTTCATCTTTAGGAGTCTGGAAAGGAGATGGTAAAGCAGGAAAAACATTTCCTCTTGGAGCTGGGTGGGATAACAGCAGCGTTTGAACCAAAGTCCTCTTCTGCAGGGGCATGGTACCGATGGAAGACTTTAGGTAAAAATGGCTGCCCCACACTGCATGAATCTGCAACAGGATGCTGTATTTTTCAAGATGCTCATGAGTTCTTGCCCTTTGGGCATGTTAGGAGCATGCACACCATAGAAATGTGGTGTAAGGATGATGTCAAAACCAACAGTGCACATGCTCTGTAAAAACATTGAGGGTCTTATGTGTGAGTCACAGAACTACCATGAAATGTAACATAGCCGGGAATTCATCCAGTGATGTCTAAGATCTGCCTGTGCTCACTCAGGCTCTCTAGGACTGTTTCCACGTGGGAAAGACCTTTTATTTCATCTTCCTGCTGTAAGTTGGAGAAAGAACCAATCTCTTGTCCATTTATTAAACAGTAGGGCCATATCTTTCATAAACAAACTATTTCAACTTCACTTTATTTAAGTCAAGCTTAGGTTGACTAAATCAATGGAAATATGAGTCACAACTGTTGGCTTTGAAATCTCTACTATTTGGGGTTTCTCCTGCTGGCTTGTGACATGGGAGGTTCAAGTTCTGGTTGAAGCACTGGTGTAGCTAGCTGTGTGTCCTGGACAAGTCATTTAATCACTCTGTTTCAACTCTCTTAAGCCCCATCCACAACATAGGAACCAGGCCAGATGATACGTGAGAACTTTTTGTTCTTGTATCTGTGTGCCTTCTCTGAGTATTAGCATAAGCAATTATATAGCAGAAACTAACCAAACATTTTTCAGAGCTTGGTTGGCAAAGCTTGGTTCTCGATTAAATCAAGGTGTAGAACCCCATGGCGAAGAACAGAACTTTCATGGCTACTGCCTGGCACCTACTTCTGTCCCAGAGTCCATCTCCTGGGAATGGGTGGAGACACGACCTAGTCCCTCGGTGGGAGTTCCAGCTGGGGAATGGCTCTGCTGCACAAGGTCTGGGAGGTTGATGTGACCTGCAAAGCCATTACTGTCACTGTGGCCGGCCCTCTTCTTCTCTTCAGCTGTCTGAGGGGAATAACACACAGAGCCCGTTAGAGAGAGGGGACAAACTGAAGAATGATATCACTCCACAAATTCTAGATGTAATGGGCTCCAAACTGATCTACTGGGGAATATAGGATGGTACACAGATTAAGACCTCTCCATGGATGCAATGAACTCCAAACTGATTTCCTGGGGAGTATAGGATGTTAATACTGAAATTGGTACCTTGTTTAAGAAAATAAAGACATTAAGAATTGTTAATATTTAGTACTGAACTGACTTTCAGGACTTATGCTACTGTATGAGGGATGCCACACAATTAAGGGCAGAGCCAGGAACAAGATCTTCCAAATTTCTCTTCTGTGGCATGTGTGCATATGTGTGAGTATCACCAGATAATTGTATTTACAGATTATATTGTCAGATTATATAGACACAATTGTTCAAATCTAGCTGAAAAGAAGCTGGAGAGAAATGATATCAATACCACTGCCCTCCCCACCCCCGCAAAGTCTGTATTTCAAGAAAATGCAGAGATGTTATTTATTCAACTCACAGGGCTCTTTGCCATTCATAAAATCAAAACAATGATTATTCAGATCTGACAGGAGCCCCAAATCATTGAGATGACCTAGTGGATCATTTGAAAATAGGGACTTCCATCCTCCTCTTTGCTAGTGTTCACCCTATCAGCAATGACTGCTGTACCTTGTGATGTAGGCAAGAAAGAGATAGTCATCATGACTGGAATGGGACTTGAAGTACTGTTTATGGCAATCTTCTTAAGCATCCTTTCAAAATAATTTATAATTATAAGGGGTTAAGAGTACAAACTGTTCTTGCAAATAGCCCAAGTTCAGTTCCCAGCATCCACAGTGGGTGGCTCACAATTGTCTGTAACTCAGCTCCAGGGGACCCAAAGTCATCTGGACTCTAGGCACTTGCACTCATGTGCACATACCCACACACATATCACATAACTAAAAACAAAAAGAATCTTTAAGAAGATTCTTTACAATGCATATGTTGATTCAGTGGAACAGAACTATGTTCTATGGATATGCTCTAAAATTGTTATTGATAGGAGTGCATGAGTTAAATGTTTTCACCCTTCCAGAGATCAGCCTCTTCCCTAAATACAGGGAACAAAAGAATTAAAAGGAAACCTCTAATTGCCTAGTTTTGTAAGCCCCCTTGCTCCTTTCTAAGTGTAATTTAGCACTCACCTGTCCACCATTCTCTATGTCTGTAAGTCTCTGCCCCACCCAGTCTCTGGGGGATTTTCCTGTTCTCAGCTTGTGTAGTTTCCAGATAGGAGAAAGATCATGTGACACTATTTCACTAGATATAATGATCCCCAATACCATCATCTATCCTGTCATAAATGACAGGATTTCACTGTTCCTTATGGGTAGCCAGCTTTGCACTTTGTGTGCAGACCACAGATTCTTTATCATTTCAAGGTGATGGACGCTTAGGTGGGGACCACAGCTTCTTTGTTATTTCTAAGATGATGGATGCTTAGGTGGTTCCCACTTTCAGGCAGGTGTGAATTGTACTGACATAGGGATGTAAATGGCTCTTTGACATATTGATTTTATTTACCCTGGAAGGTCCCCAGTAGTCCCCAGTAGGAAAGTCCACATCACATCACGAATATGCAGAGGCCCCCTCTCCACATCCTTGCTGGAATGTGTTACTTTCAGTCTTTTGGATGATATCCATTCTAATTTAATTTTTATTTTGGTTTTTATTTTGATCTCTTTCTTGACAACTAATAATTTTGATTAGTTTTCCATGTGTCCAGTAGCCATTTAAATATATTCTTTCAAGAAATGCTTGCTGCCTATTTAAAAATCATTATTATTTTTTCTATTGAGGTTTTTGAGTTCCTTATATGTTCTAGATGTAAATACATTGGTGAGTATTTCCCCCTGTTTTGTAGGCTACCCAATTACTAAGTATGCCCTTTGTTGTGCATAGTTCTAAACTCTGGATTTAGTATGTAACTAGTTCACCAAGAATTCTTAGGGCAGACCCAAGTAATGATTTCCTTCCTCCTTTTCATACTCCCCTGTCTCCTTTTGTTCCCCATCTCTTAGCTCAGCATTGCCAAATACCTACTCAATATGAAATGGTTTGCTTAACATGGAACAGCGGGGAACATGGCAAATATGTTCCCCACTCTCTGGAGTTGGCATAGGAAAGAATACATGCTGTTTCTTCAGCCAGCCCAGCATGATATCTAATATCATCATCAACCCTATTAGAATTGGGATCAGCCAGGATCTCTGGGTGGGTCTATGTGGGGGTTTCCAGAGAGTTTTGACTGATTGGAGGAAGCCTACTCTAAATGTCTCCTGGGGGACCAGTCTGAGACAATGGGGGAAAGGAGTAGGAAAGTCTGTTGAGTACCACCCCACCCCCCCCACTCTGTTTCCTGACTGTGGACTCCATGTAACCAGCCACCCAACCTTCCTGCCACCATGCCTTCTCCACCATGATACACTGTATTCCCTCATACCCTGAGCCAAACAAGCCCTTCCTTCCTTAAGTAGCTTTGCTCAGACACTCGGTCAGAGTTAAGAGAAAGCAAGCACTCGGCTTCCCCCAGACTCCGTACAGTGTGTAGAGGGAATGGCTTCCCCCAGACTCTGTACAGTGTGTAGAGGGTATGGCTTCTGGCCTGTACTTTCCTCTGTCAGGAATCACACATAGCCACTTCTTTGGTGTGTACGACATTCCCAAGATCCTTATAGGTGTGATTCACCTATAAGGAAGCTTGAGAAATGACTGGAAAGTTTGGTGTCATCTGTTTCTTGGACTACAAGCTGCCCCAGTGAGCGTCCTTTTCTCAATTCATTTTGTCACAGTGTTCATTGGGAGCGTCAAGGGTGTATATTCTTGAAGACGAACATTTTATCTTCTAAGTGACACTTCGGGAGCTCAGTTCACATCCATCTCAGTGTCCTTGCTTTTTATGTTTACTAAACAGCTTTTCCCTCCTTCCAACTTCCATTCAGTACTGAAAAGCCTTTTGATATCCCCCCCCCGACTCCAACCAATTTCCCCCAAAGCATAAATCATCACATCTTGTCACTTTAGAACATTTCAGTTTCTCTTCTATCAGTGGCATTTTCTCCCAGGTCTTGAAACTGATGAAGATACGCTGGTTATTAGGGAGAAACTTGAAAGGCTAGCTAGCGATGATTCTCAGAGATTGAAAAGTCAGGAGCAGTGACCCTTAATCTACCCACTTCTGAGTCATTATCTCAGTGTAACCGACATCCTCTTATGAAATGCCTTCTGTGTGCTGGGCCCTCTCCTGGGAACACGAAGTAACTGAACCTGTTAAGAGAATCTCAACCTCGCTGATTTTGATAGCTTTGCCATCCCCATGAGAATGAGCACAAACAAGCTCTGTATTCCAGCATATGCCAGGTAGTGTGCTAAACACTCAGCACCAGGTGCCATTGGGTTCTCTTCGGAGCACCGTGGGCCAGCTTTCAGATGGAAAAAGTGCAAGAGAGCCAATTACCATTTCTTGAGGCTTTAAGCCCAGGCTGTGTGGTGGTGGAGTCCAGAAGCTCTGGGATGCACTATTACATTGTGAGAGCTCTTACTGTGATAACTTATTGAACCAGGAGTGGAAACCTATGGCAAGTAGGACCAAATTCTCAATACCATTGACCATGAAGACCAATATTTGCCAGCAGCCAAACTGGGCTATGTTGAAGATCTCGGAGTGAGAAGAGATGAGAATACAAGTATGTGAAGGGGGAGAAAGCAGGTCTGTGGAGAGATGACAGAGAAGGGAGGAGGCAAGCAAAGGTGAGGGCAAGAAGATGGAGGCAGCAGAGTGCACATGGTAGCCACCGGAGCCCCATCTTTTTTTAGCTTCAGGTTGCGCCCCTACACAGGTACACCACTAATTTTGTCTTGAGTTCCTACCATGGAATATGCATACACATAGTTTGTGAATTTTAACTCTTTGAGTGTTATCTACAACTCCCTCTCTTTCCCCTTAAACTCTGTAAATGTGCGGTCTTTCCTTTTTATTTATAATAAAAAGAAGCTTCATGGCACAAACTAGTGTTCTCATTCATTTGGGTAGGTGGATAGATACTGGAGAGAACATGAATAGCTTCAGGAATGTACTACAGAGGTCCACTGGGTCCAGGAAATGCTTCCAGAAGGGAAAGCTGAGTCAGAAAAGAATGGGAAGGAGGAAGGCAGGATGGCATTTCCAGAAGATAGGCCATGGTAGACAAGATGGTCAGTAACACCTGATGTGGCTCACTCTAGCAGAGTAGAAAATGGTCCTGTGAAGTGTAAGATGAGACAGGGGAAAGATATAGCAGCCAGGGTATGCACCACAGGGACACTTCATACATGATATAATCACAGATAGTATGGCCAATATAGTCATCCAGAATTTTCTCTTCTATTCACAGAAGAATGAATTGGGTGAGTTCCTGATGGCCACCCTGTGGAAGTGAACTCACAATATTGTATAGGCTAAATCTTGTCATAATAAGATAAAATTTAAGTTTTGAAATTTTAGTTTTTTACTGTAGCCTGAATTTATTTTTAAAAAACACGTGTCTTTAATTTTTTTTAACATAACACTCATTTGATGGTTAATTATAAGTGCCAACTTAACTGAGCCACAAGGTGCACAGATTAAACATTATTTCTTGGTATGTCTGTCACTTTGTTTCTGAGCATCAAAGAGACAAGCGTTTGAATTGATGACGTTGGTAGGTAGATTATCATTCCCAAATTATGTTAATAAGAACCTTGAGGAACCATAATAGAACTAAAGGCAGAAGAAGAAGAAAATTGTTTAAAATAAAAGTTGTGTGTGACATGTGTGGGTGTATTTGTGAATGTGGGCTCATGTGCCACTGTGTGCCTACAGAGGTCAAAGGGGAGGTGTTGGTCTCCCCTTTCAGCTCAGTTAGACAGTCTCTTGCTGGCCAGTGCTGTATAGTCCAGGCTAGCTGAACCACAAGTCTCTGGGCTTCTCCTGGCCCTGCCACAGAAACACTGGGATTACATATGCATACTATACATGGCTTCTGGTGTTTCAGACCCAGGTCCTCATTCTTGTCTGACCAATGCTCTTGATCCACTGAGCCATTCCCACAGCTTGTGACTTATCAACTTCAAGTCCCTGCTCAATACTTGAGTTGGGATATCTTATCTCCTCTTTACCCACTTCTGCACTGGGAAGCCATACTATCACAGGTGCAAAGGTCATTAGATTTCTTGTCCTCCTTGATCACATGAACCACCTCCCTATAAACTCTTTCTCTTTTGTATCTTGATAAAAGCTGTTTGTGTGATTAAGACCCCACCCTTTGGGGCTGAAGAGATGGCTTAGGTGATAAAGTCCTAGTCTTGCAACCCATAATACCTGTTAAATCCCCAAGACTGATGGAATTCCAGACTTGGGAGGCAAAGACAGGTGACCTCTGGGCTTGCTGGCCATACAGCTTACCTTACTTGGTGACCCCCAGGCCAGTGAGAGACCTTGTCTCAATAAAGAAAGATGTGAATGACACTTGGGGAAAGACACCCAAGGTAGTTCCCTAGCCTCAACATGTATGTATACATATGTGCACATACTTACATGTACATACAATAAAAATAAAATTAAAAACCTATACTTGGTAAAAGTGGAATTTAGAAACTGAGAGGAAAAATGGTCTGAGGGTCCCCCAGCAGATCAACTTCAGGCAAGACACAACTTCAGGCATATGATTTTGAAAGTGCTGGTGGTTGTGGTCATCTAATTCTGGAAGCTTTGAACAATGGGAAGTCACTGGGTTTGGTTGGCAACAGAAACCAATGTGTGGCTCTAATGTCTCCCTGGAGATACTGACTGTAAAGACTGAGCTGTTTTCATTTGGAGTTAGAGTAACTCACTCTAGAACACTCTTATGTAAAGCTCTGATAGAAACCCTCTACCTGTATTAAAATAACCCTGCATGGTTCTGGGAGTTTTATACACCAGCAGCACACAATGCTGGCACTGCCAGCCAAGTCCCTTCTTCATCAGTCATTCATGAAAGCATTCTTTAAAGTCTACTTGAAAGATCTGACACAGGCATAAAATAAAATTCTAGCAAGCTGCTGTGCCAGCTAGTCGTCTAGTTATAGTTGCACTGCCAATTTTACTTCAAAAGCCTTATTCATCTCCAAACTACACTTTCTGTCTTCCTTACTAAAGCAAGAGGCCCTCTGACTTTCTGGAGAGCAAAGTCTGTGAATGGTGTTTCCTAGCCCTATCCTATCCTATTTGAAGAGAGAGAATGACCATGCTGTCTGTTTATGCTTTAGAGGAAACAGTGAGTTAGATAAGAAGCAAGAGGAGACTGGAGGTTTTGGTGATAATGAAATAAAATAATTATCTTTTATTAAATACCCAAATTTGCTAAGTAGTCCATTTCATGTTGTCAATCACACCATGAAAGCATATGGTATCATTTATGAAATATGTGTGTGCGTGTCTGAAATTGATGCAGGGTACCTTTCTTGGTCTCTCTCCTCTTTGTTAGCTGTGGCAGGCTCTCTCTCATGACCCAGAGCTTTTCAACTCTGGCTAGTCTAAGTAACCAGCCCGCCCTGGGATTCCTTGTCTCTGACTCCTGAGTGCTGACATTTCAAGTGGCTGACATGCCTGTGTGGCTGGTGTGTGTGTGTGTGTGTGTGTGTGTGTGTGTGTGTGTGTATTCTGGGGATATAAAATTCTTGACTTCATACTTGAGTGGTAAGCACTTTGTCCACTGAGCTATTTCTGCAACCCATTTATGAAGTTTTACAGAGGATAAAGCAGATGTAGGGAAAGATGTAACATTTCCCAGTGTTACTTGCCATCATTTTCTTTTCAAACTTGCATGCAATGAAAACAGAAGATGGGTTCTAATTTCTTGGGGCACTTCAGGGTGATAAAGCCACCACAGGGAACACAGTGAAAGGACAGGTGAAAGGGAGCATGTGCTTCCTACCAAATGAAATCATGTTTTCAGATTTAATAAACAAAATACCTTTATAAAGGCTGGAGAGATGACTCAGTATTAAGAGCACTGGCTGCTCTTCCAGAGGACCTGGCTTCCATTCCCAGCAGCTCCCAACTACCTATACCCCCAGGCCCAGGGGACCCAACACCCTCTTCTGGCCTCTGTAGACATTAGACATGCACCCAGTGCACAGACATACATGCAGGCACAATACCCACACATATAAAAATAAATAAAAATTTAAAATCCCTCAAAATTCAAAGATGAAAATAAATGACAAAGGTATGCGTCTTAGTTGATTTTTGTGTTCTCTAGCCCCAGTTGCTTACTGTTTTTTCAAATGTTAATTTAATGAGATGCAAAGATAGCATAGTTTCTTGGAAATACTGAGCATTTTATATGAAATGCATATGGGTGAAACCATGGAGGAAGAGGCTTACAAAACTACCATTTCTATCAAGAGTATGCCTTCATTTCTGTTCTCCTAGTGTTGGGAACATCTGTGTCTTCCAGGTTTATGTCCTCAGGCTCAGATTTTATACTCTGATTTGCATAGCTCTTGTTGAAGAATTGGGCATAATGTAATTAAGTCACTCTGCAGAAACTTTGGAGGACACAGAAAAAAGAAGATGGCAGACAATTAAAATCACATAATCACTTAGAAGCACAGGTGCTTCCCCTAGCCAGCATACTTACAATATATGCTATAAGGATTCGATGTAAAATATTGAGTAGAAAAACCATGTAAGGACTGTGTTTCCTCTGATGGCTGTCATGCCAGCTCACCTCTCTGATCATCAAGGTTCCTTCTCTGGAAATACTGCTGCCGAAGGTGTCCGCATGTGAAGTCTCCAGCCCATGTGTCCCGACCATTCCCACATTGTACTGCTCGTTGCTCCCTGGAGCTCCTGTTGGTCTGAGATGAGAAGGAACGGTAGTCACACAGCAAGGTGTAAACTCATTTTAAATGAAATGCCACAAAATGTAAATACCATTTCCTGTCCATATCCACTTCTTATTGCTGCAAATGCACATGGCATAACATTTGCCATTTATATTATTTGTGTGATTATTGCAGTGACTTTAGATTGGGGTTTCCATTTCTGCAGCATCTTGACCTATATTTTACCCTATTCTTAACTCAGACTGTAAGTGCTTCCTGCTCTCAAGGGAAAAAAATTGATGCAGTCAGCATCCAGGCTTATGAGGCACTACTGTGTCCCCCAGCCCCATGACCTTCTCGAACAAATGGCCACCCTGGCCTACCTTTGCTCTTGCTATTTCCTTGGCTCTCGACTGGCTCCTTCTCATTCCTCTGTTTTCATTGTGTCTAGAACACAATCTCAAGACCCTCGTCCAATCCCACCAGCCTTTACTGTTCCTGTTACCATTTGTGACTCCTTTGTTTAAGATTCATGTGTGTGCAAGTATGGGATGAGGGGGGAAGCAGTATATCATGTGGGAGGGGCTGGAGTTGGGTTTCTTCCTAAAGAAACCCTTCCTTTGGGACACAGTCTCTTTTGACCTGGAACTCACCAATTAGGCTGGGTTGGTTGGTCAGGGAGCCTAAGGGATCCTCCTGTCTCATGTCAATAATTAGGATTAAAAGCACATGCAACCATGCCTGGCATTTTCACACAGGTTCTGGAGATTGAACCCAGGTCCTCAGGCTTGCAGGCAAGTACTTTGCTGACTGAACCATACCTTTGGTCCCTGAAATTTTTAGCTTGTAATTCCTCCATTTCCCCCTTCTTCGTTTGAACACATGCTTGTCTTTTTGTTTGGTACTAACTTGATTTGTCCATGGTCTGTGACCAAAAGTATGTCTTTAACAAAAGATCTTGCCATTGAGCTGTGGTGGGAATCAAAAGCAATGTTTGGGTGGGGCCTCTGATCAACTACTTGAAGGGAGGTAACCCACACCTGAGTTTCTTATTTGGTAACCTGCGGTTTCTGGGAAGTACATTAAAATTCATATGATATACACATTTATTTTCACATGATACATATAAATTGATATCCCATACATATGAAGCTTATGAAATAGTTGGTTTTTTTTTCAATCTAGGCAGTATATACCTAGTTTGTAACACAGAACATTAAAAACTGATCATTGGACAGATTGGGGGCTTGTGCTATTTATAATGGCAGCCAAGTGGGTTGTCCATGAGCTAGGCTGTCAGACTCAAAAAAGTAATTAACAGCACTTCCCTAACATCTCTCTTGCTACTGTGTCTGTATTTCCTAGAGAACAGCGATACTCTGAGGATGTAACGACATATTCACTCAGGAACCACCAGATCTATGCTAGCAGACACATTGGGGCAGAACACACAGTATGGGGAGTGGTGACAAGATGCTGCACCCCAAGGCACAAACAGTGGTGTTTCCCATGTGCCTTGTGTCACACAGAGCAAGTGCCAGTACTCAACAAGGGGAAGACCGTCACATCTGAGCTCCACTCAGATGATCACAAATCTAAGCGTTCTCTGTCCCTTGCGCCCAATTTGTCAGGTTTATAAGCTTGGAAAGTGGAGAACAACCAAGCAGATGCTGTACTTATGGGATTTCACGGTTTATGGTTTCGTTGTTACAGATTCCTTTCTGCTGTTGTAGCAATTAGTTATGTTGAAGATGTGTCTTTAAAATGTGAGGTGGTATCAAGAAATTATTTATGTCTCGGAGAACATGCATCACTTTAGTCCCTTAATTATTTTTATATATTTAAAACTTGTCAATGATTTCTGGGTATGGTGGCACACGCCTTTAATCCCAGCATTCAAGAGGAAAAGGCTGATGATGTCTGTCGCTTGAAGACCTAGCCTGATCTACATAAGAGATCCTGTCTCAAAAAAAAAAAAAAAAAAAAAAAAAAAAAGACACCACCAGTGGACATGCCAGTGTCAACAGGGAAAACCTCACAGGGCACCACTCCTAGATGAAGAATACAGGCAATTAATGGATGCTTAAAGGGATGACTAGTCTTCCCCAGGGATCAATCACCTAATTGTTTATCTAATACCAAGTGGTCAGCCTAAAAAGCATCATACAAGTAACACAAGACAGACTCAGCAGGCTGTATTCATATATTAATTCACATATATATTTAACAAGCAAAAGAAACTATGGATTTAAGAGGGAATGAGGGGTCTATGGGAAGGGTAAGGGGGTAAATAATATAGTTACATTTTAATTAAAAATAAAATAAACTGTAACACACACACACAACCACCACCATCACCAAGACCTGCCTGCAATTTCTTAAATAGATAGTTTGAAGATGTAATAAAATGTTCACTCCAAGAACCAAGAAATACACCAGGAGTATGCTAGCAGGCATACTGCCAGAAACGTTTGCTTAGGATGAGAGTAGCAGCTGAGCGTGCTTCAAGTCCCGAGTTCGAACTCCAGCAGTGGAAAAAGGATTCTCATCCAAAATGGAAAAGCAAAATGATGAAGGTAAAATTGGATATGAAAATATATGTGAGACATGAAAATGTACAGTGAGAGTAAAATCGGATATGTAAGAGAGGGTAAAATCAAATATGAAAATATACAGGGAGGCCTATATTTCAAAGTTTCTCACTTGGAGCAGAGGACTGAATGGACTCAAATATGGATAGGAATTGATATGTTTGAGATAAAAAAATTCAAAAGCCTACTTTCAAAGTCACTGTTTCTGCCCCAGAAAGGAGCTATTAGTATTAACAGTGTTCCAAAACATGGGAAAGCCACTGTTGTGGTCATTTTTGGCATATTAATAGACTGGCAAGTCAGGTAGATCTCAAAACAAAAGATTCTTCCCTTATTTTTTGGAACTTAATCTTATCTATGTTGTTCCTTTTCTTATGGGATTTAAATTCTTGTTTCAGAGAAGATGGCATGAACCCAATAGACCAATGTCTCAAGTGTCCATCAAGCATTCTCTGCCACTACCACAGGCTTAGGCTGAGATTGGGGAACACTGGCACTGTCAGGTTCTCGTATCCATTATCACAGTCTCATTTCTTTTTAAATTCTTCATAATTTTCTGATTCTATTCAAACATTTTAATCAGAGAAAAGATGGATATGGATACTGCTTCATTAGAATGAGTTTTGAAAACCTACATCCAGCAAGAAAAATTCTCAGTGAACTCTCTATACATTCAGTTAATCCTTTCCCATTTTTCATTTTGCTATTACTTTAGTAAAATAACTATTCATGGTCCATTTCTTTTCCATGTAAATTTCATAGCAATGACTTAATACAATGATTCTTTTGTCAATATTCTCCTTCAAATGCTTAAGTGGTTACTTCTTTCAAGTCCAGTTTTTTTTTTCTGGATCTATTTTAAAGGTTTAAATTTTACTGAAAAGGTTTATGTGCCTATTATTAGCCAATAGCAGATATTACTATGCAAACCATCGCCCACTGTTCATTTTAATATTTGCTAAGTATTTTCAGCTAACTTACATTTTTTTTTTGCTTGAGTCTATTTTTATACTTTGACTTTCCTGGGACAGCACTGCCTCACTGTTACAAAATTTAGACTGTTTCAAGTTATATTTTACATTATTTTAATCAGTAATATTCCCTATAGATTAAATTAAAGACAGTCTGTGTTTATTTCATAGTTAATTTGCTTCTAATACAATAACCATCACCTCTTACTAGCCCAAGATAGCCCTGTTACATAGGATCATTTGATTATGAACATTTTGTATATAAGTATTTTAAGTTCTTGCCTATTATATTGTCTCTATTCAACCTAATGTAATGGCTTTTGATTGCAGAAAATGTCCAAGACTCTCTACCTATTCCAATCACCTCCCTACACATTCCGTTCTAGAGGGTCAAGCTCAGCCCATGGTTCCCACTTAGGGGTTGAGGACCCTGTTTTAACACAGCAGGCCAGAGGTTATGTCGCTTATTTTTCCTGTTCCCTGACCCTTCTCCGGTCTTCCATTTCCTTTGCTATCCTGTGCCTATTCCTTTGTGTCTGTTTTCTTCATAACTGGAAGAGGTCTCTGAGACTCTGCTTCATTTTGTAGCACCATTTATCCTGCAATAATATATAAATAAGTCTAAGATCTTTATTCAATCATTTACTTTTTCTGCTTCCAATTGGATATTTATGTACTGGGTGGCAGTTGAGGTAATACCTTCTTTATGTAGTATTTATTTGAATGAGTAACTTTAAAACCATTCTGGACCCCTTTCCTTTCATTTCCTCCTATGTTCAATTAGGCCCTTCCTGTTGTGCTTCCTAAACACATCTCAAATATTCTCTGTTCTTTTTTTAAAGTGACTCAATGAGGTTGGCATCCTCTCTTTCACTAATGGCAGCCTTCTTCAAATTCACTGCACAACTAACCATGCTTATTTTTTCCTTCCAACATTCAGTAGCTTCCTGTCAACTGTGACTAAGGGTTAAAGGTCCTTATGATGGCTTAAAGGTATTATTGGGTCCTTGTCTCTAATGGAATTTTTAAAGCAAATCCTACCCTCTTCTAACTCTGGCAACATTTAACTCATAGTTGTTCTCTGTGCATATTACATGACAAAACCCTCAGTGATTTAAGTCGGACCCATTTCCAAGTCTGCTTCCTTATTCTCTGCTTCCCCTAGATCACACATTTTTAAAATACAGAGGATGGCTCCCCACTCTGCTTCTACATGGTCCTCTAAGCATCTTTACCACTGTATCAACACGTGGTCCTTCAGTGATCAGATCTCATCTGTGTGTGTCCTTGGTGTTTTGTAATGGGTGTGACATTCCAGAGCCACCGAGTGAGTGTTCAGTGCACACCTGGAAGGCTGTTCTTAGTGTCCCTGGTATGGATTTTATTCAGAGTTTTGATGATTCTCAAAGCACAAATCTTTTGTAAATCAATGAGTGACTAGCTATAAAGGTAATTGATAGCATGCTTAAAT